TTGACATTTATATACACAAAATATAAAGTTATATTAATATTTAAATATGTTTTACATTGTAGCATATTTTGAAAATGAACGATTTTATATGAGACATATTTTTTTTTTTTTGAGACATAAACCAATCCCTTAATTGGTATTCTTTTTGTCAATTGTTTTTAAAAGGAAAATTTTCAAAATTTTGTATAGTAAATCGATTTTTCGTTTTCGTATGCGCAAAATATAAATCTATATATGCATATATATATATATATATATATATATATAATGCATAAAAAATTGTCACACATATAATAGGAAAGTTATCCAACTAAAAGTTGTTCAGCTTGAAAATATATATAAAAAGTTCTCACACATTCAATAAAAATTGTTCGGCTTAAAAAAATTAGCGTGAAATAATGTCTAACCACAAATGTTTTTATATTTTATATCTACTATATATAATATCTCTCATAAAATTAGTGTGATGTAATGTTTAATGTTTTGTATTATTCATACATATTTTTATAGATATAATTACTAATATTTTTTAGACTTTAATACATATTATTCACATGTAGTATTTTGTATATTTTAAACATGTTGTGTATATATGTATGGGTGTTGAATTTTTTTAAGACATGTTTTACTTATAAAATAACTTAGAAAGGTGACCTCACATTTTTTAGGAATAATATAGAATATTTTAAATAATCTTACACATGTTGTATAACATTTTAGTGTTTTTAATATTTTAGCCATACATGTTTAAGGTTCTTTTAAACAACATAAAAAACTATAAGAATTTTAGTGAATATTATTTAGCTAATCAAGTATAATCGATATTAAAATGATAAACTAACAACTCATTTGTCCAACTGCCGTATAAATTATCATATTATAAATATATCGATTATAGACTTCTTTTTAAGTTCCAGCGGCACCAGTTCCTTCTGATTTTGGAATTTTATTTAACAGTCAAGGTCAGTCTTTTTGTGTAAAAAAATATAGAAATATTAGTAAATATTATTTAACTAATAAAGTATAATCGATGTTAAAATGATATGCTTGGATATAAAATTTTTTGGATTTGTTTGTATTTTTTGGTTTGGTTTGGTTAATTTTGAAAAAGTGATGTGGTTAGTTGATAGTTGGTATATTGAAATAATATTTAAAAGAAAAGAATTAAAGGTGATTTGGTTTGAAAGTAAGAGAGAGATGATTTGAAGTGATTGTTAGTTAAAATTATGCGAGTTGATGAATAGTGAATTAAAGTTGATGTGGTGTGTAAGAATGATTGATTGATATTATTTAGTTATATTGATAATATTGATGGTAGTGGGGTTGCGTTAAATATGATTAGATTCTTTTGGATAGATTTGTATCCAAGCATCCTTTAAAACAACAACTCATTTGTCTGACTGCGTAAGTAAATTATCATATTATAAAAAGATCAATCTTAGAATTCCATTTAAGTTCCAGAGCACCAGTTACTTCTAATCTTTGGGTTCCATTTAAGATCAGGATCAGCCTTTATGTGCGTTGGCATAATATTAAAGAAATCGGTTCTTAGCCACGATCAATTATATGTTGTTGTTGTGTAAGTATTAGATAAGAGTTGTGCATTAATGACATGTTCTTAAAAATATCTGTTTTTGATCACGACCAATTGTATGTTATTGTTACACGTGTAAGTAATAGATAAAGAAAAGTTAAGGTCAACCTTTATTGTACGTTGACATGTTCTTACAGAAAATAATTTTTAGTCACAGACATTTATGTTGTTTGTTTCATGTGTAAGTAATAGAAAAAGGTTGAAGATATTAATTTGTGGGGACACGAGTTGCTCAGTTATTAAACAAATAATGTTGTGTAAAAGAAAGTTTTAAATAATATATTTTTTGCATGAGGAACAATTTATGGTTTCACAATTTCCAAACGAATTATCACTTTTTATTTATTAATACATTTTAATTTTTAATATTCTCCAAAATAAATACAGCACGTGCATCTCACGGGTTCCATACTAGTTTTTAAAAAATGACAACTAAATTTTTGGTCAAACCTCTTTCTCCATTAAATGCTTTCTACTTATGGCAACTTTTTTTTTTCCACGGACAACATTAACTAAAATCCAATCCATATGAACTGTTACTACGCCCAAAAATCGCCGCTTTACACGTGAAATTTTTTTGGAAAAAAAATTCAAATCTGCAACAGATTTTTAATAAAAAAATCAAAGCAATTCGTACAGAAAAAATCTTACAAAAATATGTTAATTAAAACTGGAAAATCGGAATTGTTGAGAGATTTCAAATCGAACAATAATTTTTTAGCAAAAAAATCCAAGCAAAATCGAACAGAAAAAATTCCTAAATCCAACCAAAAAGAAAACCTAATATTGAAGAATCTTAAAAACCCAATAAAACAAAAATAAAAATCCCTAACATATAAAAAAAAAACTAAAAGATAATAAACAAAATTTCGTTTTCGGGCAAAGAAACGAATGATTCTTTTTTAAGAATAATAATAATCGTTAAACAATACAAAATCGATCAAAAAAACATAAAGATTCAAAATGAATTCTAATCTTCATTCGAGCAGGTTTAAAAAAATGTGAAGAACAACCTAAGATTGTATGATAAAATACATGTATTCGAACAAAATTTATACGATAAATCTATCTAACAAACCTAAAAGTGAAATTAATTTTAAGGTTCAGTAAAAAAACAATAAATTTCGACCAGAAAAAAATGAAAGAAGATGAACGAAAAAAAAATTGTTTGCGGTGAAAATAGGAGAGCAAGCTCTTGCCCGATAGTTCCGATTTTGTTGGGTTTTATACTAACCCTCAAATCAACCATCGGGTCTTCTTTTATGGTTGATGGAAACTCAGTCTTGGGCTAATAAAATTCCAATTTTAATGGGCTTAGTATAAGATAATGTAAGGAGTCGGCGTTACTTGGGCCGATTAAAAAAAATATTGTTCTATATAATCAATATTATTACGATATTAGATATTAAGCCCATTTAAATAGTATTAATTTATATCTTATTATAAATATTTTTTAAATTATTTTTAATTAATTATAATTTAATATATATTTTTATTTAAATGTATATCTTTATTTCAAAATTCTTTTACCTTCGTAAATATAAAAAATGAAATATAGAATTCAAAAAGTATTTAAAATCTATTACTATTAAAAAAAAGGGGAGGTATTTACTTGAATTGGATAATATTTGGATTTATCTTTTAATTTGATCAGTAATTTGACAAATGTTGGACATTAAATAAACTACATGATGGATTTACATAAACTTTTGTTGATAAAAAATGACGGCATACAACAATTAAGTTTATATGTTGAGAAATATTAGGAACATATATATCGTATATAGGATAACACTGGAAAAAATATAATGAATTATGTTTAAATGGTGATTTAACCATATTATATACCAATTGTGCAATGTGTGGTATATGTCTATTATTTAAGGTATAATACTATTACTTAAATAAAAAGTATTGTGTAAAAAGAAGGTAATAGGGTGTAAAATATTCATCCGTGCATCGCACGGGATACTCACTAGTATTTTCTAAAAAAAAATAGATTTCTTCCATATCTTTGTCCATGGCTAAGCGAAAAACACCATATACCAATCCGAATAAAAATTGAGATGAATCCGAATAAAAATGAAGATGAAGGAAGTTCTTAAGTGTCGGATCGTGCGATGATGTACCCGTCACCCAGCACAGTTGGGTTTGGGAACCGACCCAGTTGAATTTGAGCTTCGTATGAAGAACTCACATGGGGCGTAAAATATAATACCACTTGAGAGCTATCTCACATCCTTTATACGGAAAAAATATGCCTACCTTATAAGCCTAATGAGATATTCCTCTCATCACCAATTGGTTTGGGATGAAACCTCATTTGGACTTCATCTGGGCTTTCTCTGCTATGGTACGATGTGTGGGACCACACCTGTTTGTCTCCTTTTTTTACAAGGAGAATGATGGAGATAAATATCCTGGTTTAAGTAATTATTATTTTTTATGTTTATTTTTATCAATAATATATATCCTGGTTTTTTTATGTTTATTTTTTAGGTTATTTTTATTATTGTTCAAAGTTTTTGTATTGTTGGACAAGCTAAGAAGATGTATAATCTAGAATTTTGAGGAGTCTTATTTAAGGACTCCTCTCTTCTTTTGTTCTATGAAGTTAAATTTGAATAAGAAAAGAGATTTCTCTTCTCTTATTTTCCATTCATTAACTGTGCTACATTAGTTGAGTATTTTTTTTTCATATGTATAAAAATATGATTAGCCAGCCTGTCTTATGGTAATTAGGTTGTCTGGATATTTTCTTTAAGAAAGTATGGCTGGCCCGCACCACAATCAGGCCACCTGTATATTTTTTTTTT